TAATAATCTATAGTTCAAGTCATTTTTTCTTAAGGAAAATATTAATAAATAATATGTTAAAATATTTTGCATAAACTATCTTTCTCGTTTAAAATTTTTCTTATCAAAAGTAGTAATGACAATTAAAAAATTGTCGTAGACAACGCAAAAAATGATCACTAAATTCTTTATCTCTTAATCTCACAAAATAAATATAATTAATTCTACAAAGCTAACTTAGAAATTAATTAAATATAAACAAAATTTAAACAGTAATGATATATCTTCAATTGAAAATAATGTTCTACATAAAATTTAGAGTATAAAGCATCTTATATATATACTGAATTAAAAAAAAAAATAAAGTTTTCAATGTAACATCATAATAGCAACGCTTTATTTTAATTTTTTTTTTCGCGTAAAAAAATCGCAAAGAGATATCTTCTAGTTTTCATATCCCTAATTCAGACATGAAGTAGTTATCACCCGAATCATTTTAGACTTTCCCGCTAGATGGACGTAGCGTACAGATGTTCGAATCACCGACGCCGTTTCGAAAAGTAGGGCAACCTCGTGTTCTTCTGGGTAACGTGTCAATTGGTATGTCGCTACTATTGTTGCGTTCTTATCGCATTCGGATATGTACAAGCGCGGTGCATTGATAGCTCTGGAGGGATGCGATCGAGCCGGCAAATCGACTCAAGCGAAGATGCTGATGAATGCGTTGAACGATTTGCGGATCCCGGCGAAAGCTCGCGCATTTCCAAGTGAGTGACGATCGATCGCGTGTTTGTGAAGTTAGGTTATTTTGTGCGGGAAAAGAATGACTTATCTCTGCCGCAGATATAAATGGATTCAGTTTGATAAAAGAAATATTAAAATAATAATTTACGCACCAAATGCATATTTATAATCTGGGATATTATTTTATTTGAGATATTATTATTTATGCCTATCTGGGTTATTATTATTTATGTCTATCGTGTCGTTATCGGTTCTGTCTTGTCTCACTTGTTGCTGCATTTCCTATTGCTTTGAATGCTGGCAGAGTGAGAAAAAATTGTCGTGAAAAATTCGCGTGAGAACTCAGTAGATCGTATCTTATTGTTTAAAAATGACAGATAATGGAACTAACTAATTATACCATTTAGAGAGTAAACAAATTTTATTTATAATCTAAAAATTCTAATAATTCTAAAAATTATATTAAGCGCTAATTTTGTGAAATTAAAGAAACATTTCTTTTTTTTCTTTTGCAGATAGAAAGACTCCTGTTGGAGCTATTTTAAATGGTTTCCTATCAAAAGAGGTAAATATACCATCGGAGGCGGCTCATTTGCTCTTTTCTGCCAATCGCTGGGAATGCAAGGAGGACATGGAGAAGACACTTTTATCTGGTGTTACTCTGGTGATAGATAGATATGCAGCCTCTGGTGCCGTATACACGGCGGCCAACACTGGCAGAAGTCTCAATTGGTGTCAACAGGCTGATTTAGGGCTTCCAAAACCAGACTGTGTGATATTTCTCAAAGTGTCTAAGCGACAGCAGGAACTGCGCAGTGATTGGGGAAAGGAAAGATTTGAGCATAATGAATTTCAGCAACGTGTCAATGCCAATTACGAGAAATTAAGAGATGATACTTGGGTCATTGTAGATGCCGAGCAAGATGAATCAGCAGTACATGCTGAAATACTACAGAAAACACTATCTGTTATTCAAGAAGTTGAATATCGTAATATAGAGTTATTAAGTGACTGAAAACAGTGACAAATCTATATATTTCTACCTCAGCAAAAAATTACTATATTAATAATTCTATGCGATATTCATTGTCTTTAATAAAATCCTAAGAAAATATCAAATATATTCCCTGTTAAATAAACAATTCTATTTTTATATCTAGAAATTGTAAAATAATATTTTTATATTTATATGTCAAGGAAATTGTGCAAATCATGTTAATTATTGTTTGATATATAATATTAATTAATATGATCAAGATATTACATTGTTAAAGTTAAAAAATTAGAGGAATTCAAATTATATATGAAATAAATAAATTTTTAAGTTGATAATTTCATGTTTGCTTTAAGATTAGTTATTTTATAAACATTTTTATATCATTTTACAGTGGCTTTTAAAGTAAAATATGAAATACACTTATTTTGATTTTCATGGCAATAAATAAATTATATATTATATATCATGTAATATGATTATGTTGCATAATTCCATATAATAATATAATAATAAATAATAAGATATTTTCTTCTATCTTTATTTGAATATAGTTTTGAAAAAAATTGTTATTAAAGAGAGAAATGGAAGCTGCAGATGTTTCTTAAATGAAGTCAGATGTTCCCTAAAAGGATATGGTTCTCAGATACATCTGAACTCGATCTCAGTGAAATAAAGCATGCATTAGATATTTCCGGAATCGAATCACACACTTTGCGCGCGCATGCATCTATATGCATTTACGACATATATTTCGTCCTCGTGATTGATGTTCTAATACAAAATTGTATCGTAAATAAAATATGGGGAATAAATTAATCTTTATAGTAAAGATATAAAAATAAAAATAAAATTATTGAAATAATGTAATAAATTATTGTAGTGTGTGTGTGTGTGTGTGTGTGTGTGTGTGTAATAATAGTATATAATTATATAT